TATATATATATATTCAATTGCTTTATAAAAAATACCTTGTGTTACACCGGAGCTTAACTCATAAAATCTTATACCTTGTTGGCAAGCTCCACATTTCAACAAAAAAATTGTCAGGAATGAACAGTCCGCTAGAAGGAAGCGCGCGAACTATCCTCATTGCAGTATGTATATAAGGCAATTCCAGAACAACAGTAGTTATGGCTAGTTAGCGTTAGCTAACAGTTCTTATTATCACAGTGTAATATTGGAGTGCTTCTTGAGTAAAAATCACTGTTATGTATCTTGTGTCATTGAATCAAGTCTCAAGAAAAATTCAATTTTTACTTTTCATTCATGACCATTTTTCACAACGGTACATAGAAGAAAATAGAGAATTGAATTAAAATCAAACAAGAGCCGTAACCACAAATTTCGAAATAGAGGGAGGCTGTAACATATCAAATATTAACCTCTGCTTGGCGGGATATGAGTCTCATTTTCAGAAAGGTGGTAGAACAAACAATAATTAAATTCAATCAATCAATCGCATCGCAATAATTGGGCAAATAATTTACGAGTGACGGGATTTGAACGCGAGACAGCTGGGATCGAGGTGGGGCGTATGCGGAGATAAGGGACGAGGAGAGGCGGAAGGCGTTCTCCTGATCCAGATAAAATGCAAGTGAGAACAGAACACCCAGGTTACGCGGACGGACAACTAGAGTCAAATTAGGAAAAGGGGACCGAATTCCATATGGGGCGAGTGCAAAGGGAGCGAAGTAGTACAAAGATAGAGGTGCTGCGGTGTTACCCATAACCGCCACTGACAAGTACAAGTTGAAGACATATCGCAAAACAATCAATTGAACGAACGAAGAGTTGTGGTAATGTACAACGTACGAACTAAAAAAGCAAAAACGCGATGCATGCACGATGCAGCCTGTACAGCACTTGGACTGAGATCCGGCCTAGGTCAATGCTGCATCAACGGACGCATGATCACAGGATGAATTAAGCTAAAACTGACAGAGATTCTGCAAGACGGACGGACTGCAAACACACATACAAGCACACAATCACACACATACGGACACGACACGCTGAGAATATAATGCAACCAGACATAAAATGTACACAGTCATGCGAAACTAGATTCTGAACGCTCTGAAAGGACGATTATCAATCACACTTAAAGAAATCTAGCTACTCTGCTACTTGACACAACTTTGAGGAGATGAAACGCGAAGACGCTCATATAAGGAGAATAATGCACCACCCTGATCAACTACCAAACTACCAACACCCGGCAGAGAATGATACTCAACGAGTCAATTGGACGACTATTACGACGTCCTTACTCCTAGTCCTATCGGGAATAGCTGTTCAAGGCATGAGGTGGTGGTGGCGCGCGTTGGTGACTCGTCGGTATCACGGCGTACTGCGCCATAATCGGAATGTGGTCTGATGGGACGTGTGGATGCGGAAACCCTAAGATCGAATAAATCAGTATGAAGGTCTCACTATTTACACTGCCAAAACTCACCGATTATCTTATTTTGAGCCACCCAGTTTGAGTCAAAAGCGCCGAGAAAGCCTAATCTTGCCAGAGACTGTGGTGTCGAAAAAATGTAATCGATCATTCCTTTGAAGTCCAGCCTGGAAGTCAG